GTAATTCTTATTAATCACCGGTGGAAAGAGAACAGGCTGCTGTTACTCTCATCTCACAGAGCTCGGAGCGCGCTCTGTGAGACTAATTCCCATCTTCACAGAGAGTGGCGAGGAAATTACTAGCTCCTGCCGGATCAAGCGTTCCAAATAAATCACGTACACGTGGCGCAACGATGATAAGAGTACACACCAGGGTGAGGCGCAGAAAAAGAACATCAGCAATTTTTCCGTCTTCACGCGTTTGTGTGCCAGATCCGCCTCCTTTCCGCCACTCGTCTTCTTCCGCGGGGCGGGGGAGGGAGGGTAACGAGAAGGAGAAAGGATTTTCGGGACCCGCGGGGGGCCGGGGGGGGCCGGGGGGGACCGGGGGAAGGAGGCGCAAACGATGAATCGTCGGTTCAGTCTTTCCCGCCAGTGAAAAAGTAAAATGCTGCTATGCTTATCGGGACTCGAGAGCGAACGGAATTCCCTTCCTACTATACTAGGACCCTTTTAGGACCTTTTTAACGCTTTATGTCTCCTCCTAAACCAACTATCGTCGTGCATAGGGAAAGTTCAAGTCAATCGATATACGACTATCGTCCTGCATAGAAAAAGGACAAGTCCGTCGATTTACGCTCCTTTTTCCTCGCCGATTCTGCTCTCCAATATAATACCTAACATAATGCTGACAAGGAATAGACAGGCAAACAAGTACTAGTAATTGGATAAACGCACACAGACAGTATAGCCGCCGTCCTTCATAGACAGAACTAACATTTTTCTCTATTGCTGACTGCTTTACACTCCGTACCTGTCGACCCAAGATTCAAGCACATCGACAGAAACGGAAGGAAAAGAAAAAACGTGCGGCTACTCAGACAGGTACTCGCACGCATTGTTATGAAAGATTTCCCTAATTTTAGTATATAGCATCAACGGCAAGCAATGTCATCAACGACACATACTGGAGGCGAAGCACCGAGACAAATAAATATAGACAATACAGAAACAACACGAAATACTTAGACACAAAATGGGATAACGGGACACGGGACGACATCATCGCTGGAACTGGACATATCGACCATCTTCACCCAGACAACGTCTGCTCATGGTAGCTCCAAAATGGACTGAAAGTCACCCAAAAATACAGCGCTATGATACAACCGGGCATTCTCTTCGGGTAAAGGCGGTTGGCACAAAACCAAACAAGACTGCACGAAGCCGCGCGGACAAACTACATGTGCCCTCCCTCAACGAGGGCTCAAACCCACGTCCTTCCCCCTCATTCCGTTTTGCTGAAAGCACACAACAAAAAACGAAGAAATCAGAAACGGAAATTATTTACCGACGGGCGTAGCTCAGTTGGTAAACCTAAGAACTCTTGAAACACAGACCCGCCGGGTTGTGTTTGCAAAAGCGTTTGGATCCTGACGCAATCAAATGAACAGAATAAAATAATCCTGAACTACTTACCTGCGGCCGGTCAGTTCTTATGATGGCATCTCAAGGCCGTCGTCCAGGGCCTCGCCGCACGGGACACGAAACGAAAAACGAAACGATTGCATCTCCCTGCAGAAAATTGCCAGGTTCATCGTTTGCTGTAAATAGTAACGAGTGTATTTTGCCACCTTTCCTGGGCAGATGCACTCGTTTCGTTTTCGTTTCGTGCGCCGTGCGGCGAGAGCCTAAGACGGAAGAAAAACAGAAATCACCTGCTCATCATCCACCCTCGACTCGACAGTGCATAACCCAACACGTTTCCACTCCCAGGTCCGCGATCCGTGACAACACTAACGCGCAATTCCTCCGACGTGACGATAGAAAACAGAGACGCAGAAATTAAGCACCTGCCGTTTAGATAAACCGCCAGTACAGGGGCCCAGCATTGCTGAAAAGAAACTCATCACCTATCCGGAAAGGCGGCGTCGGCGGTCGGCGTCGCTTTTCAGCATCTGATACGGCCTCGCAGCCGATGTGAGGCGTGTACTGGTGGTTCAACCTAAAACATTCCCGCCGTTATGCAGTTATGATGCTCCTCTTCACTCCGGAAACAAAGCCTCACCTTTCTCTCGGAACTTACCAGGTGACGCTTCCGTGACCTACAAATTTCCCGCCTTCGACGACGACAACCATTTTCGCCTCACTGCTCACAGCGGCTATCCCTCCCTAGTCAATTTCGGCCAGTCGTCATAACTATCACGCAAAACGATCTAACGACAGACTACCATCTTCCTACGAAGACCTGACCGCACACTCGACATGACTTGTATAAGGTCGGGAAAATAGGTTACATACATTCATTGATCAATGTACGTGACGTTTACTGACAGACGGTAGAATGTCCCTACCAACAACAGAGCATGCATGACTTGTCGTTCGCTTTTCGATTGGGAAAACTTGTCTTTCGCTTTCACCCGAATAGCACGAACGATCATCATCGCTCTCTTTACAGACTGAAAAGCTGTGCCCCAAATACAACTATAATGACTGCTCTCTGTTCGGATAAACGACGACTGTTCAAGAGCAAACCCACCGCCGCCGTTAATCCATTGAGCTAACCATGTTGAGCTAACCATGGTGAGCAACCATGTCATCTCCGCCGTTGATGATTCAACTAACTACTCCATCGCCGCCAGAACCAAATGTTTCGTCACCGTTGCGAAGCAGACGGACAACCAACCACATAAGTCTTCGACAAAATTCTCTGGACGGCGAATCGATCGCTTTACCTAACTAAAAAAAGACATGCGCGCTCGACGGGCATGTACGCAAATACGTTTTCGGGCCACTCCCGCTTCCCGAACGACCACCAGTCCGCCCACTGATTTCCTACCGTACCCTCAGACAGTCCGAATAAATGACAAAATCGCGACCGCATTAACGGCAACTACGAGATCCTGCTTCCTCCTATCATGCAAAAAAAAACGCAAAAAAAATCCGAAATCATCAACCATTAAAAAAATCCGAGTGCAAAAATATCCCATTTGCTTCGAGGCTAGCGAGGCAGTGATAGACCCAACAGAAGGCGCTCTCAAGGGCAGACAACCCCCCATTTCACCGCGGAGAAACCGGTTATAACCCACACAGCAGTTGCGGCAGCAGCAGGAATGATCAACAACTAGGGCTTTATAACCCCCCCCCAACTAGGGCTTTATACCCCCCCCCCTTTCAAAGCAGACCCCTAATTCCTAACATTGTGAACATCTCATGTGCATTTAATCAAGACCAACCACTACCTAGCCTTCTGCGACCGCCCTCGGTACCAGGAGAAACCCCCCTCTTTCGGTTGATCAACTCGTTTTGATTGACGATCCGAACCGCCCTCGGTAATTTGGCATTCTCTTTCTGCCGATAGGGTTCGACCCGATTGATTATACCAGGCGATTTGGCGGTTTTCCCCACAACTAGGTAGCTAAAACTACAATCAAAATTCAACCAAGTAAAATTCTGACGTCTAATTTTACTTCTCGATCCCATACTCTGTGCAAACATCCCCAAAACAAACGGCGAACCTCGGACCGAGTTCCACACCATTCTCAAAACTGACCAAGACTACGAATGGATATCGGTAACCTATCTCGGCATTATGCCCTGAGACGTGGCTGCGAGGTAGACTCGTACACAACGAACAGAACGTAAATGACACAGAATGACGAGAAACAACAGCGGGCGCTAAATCAAGGAAAGATGGGAGAGGAGACCAACAGAGGAGGGAAGGGGGGGAGGAGGAGGGCGGGGGAGAAGGGGGGGGGGAGACTGGAGGAGAACAAGGAAGGAAGGGGTAAAAGAGAGGAGGAGAACAAGGGGAAAGGAGATAAAGGACGCGAGAAACGGGGTGACAGAGTGAGGGAAGTGCGGGAAAAACTGAGGGAGAGAAAGTAAGGGAGAAAAAGTGGGTGAGAGAAAGGGGTGGAGAGGGGAGGAGAACGGGGAGAGGAGAGGGAAGCGAGGAGGTGAGGTGAAAAGCGTAGGCTGAGAGGCAAGCATGGCCATGGCGGCGATCGACATACTAGTGCGTCACAGTAGGACGTGGGTGCTATGAGGAAGAAAGTAAATCAAGCAGTGACCAACGAGATCCGAAGCTATGCAGTCGAGATCGACAAGAAGACTACCATTAATCAACTCCCATGACGAAGTGACAAAGACGTAAGAACCTCCCGCCCTCCGGGAGATCCGAAGCTATGCAGTACAGTAAAAATAGCATATTGATGTAACATAACGCTTACATGGGACGACGAACGCGCCTCAAACATCAAGTGTCCTCTTGATTCCATACGGCTGACACGAAGACGGTCGTCTTTCAGATCAGTGAGAAATCAAAAGGAACGCGGCTGTGGAGAATCAAAAGGAATGCGCCACAATGAGAGAGTGGGTCTTGAGAGCAAGATGATTCATGCAAGCGCAACAAGAGAAATCCAAGCCAAAAACAGGGGAAAAAATCACGGGAGTAGATCATCCAAGATGAAAATAAGGTCATCAAGGACGGGCGCGCGAAGAGCGAGGCCACCATGCCGACCAAGTTGGGTATCGAAATGAGAAAGGCAATGCAGAGCGAACAAGTAACAGGGTGCGCAAAGCTCTAAAGACAAACTAAAATAAATTATAAAAAGCAATCTAGAAGAAAAGAAAAGGACTGGAAATCATATTAAGATAAGCGCGTATACACAACATTGCAGATCTGAGAAGACGAAGTGGACAAGTGCTGCAATGCTTATGAGAGAGTTTCAAGAGTGAGAAGGAAGACGCGGAGAGAGGAAGAAAAGGAAGAGGCGAAGAGAGAAAAGGAGAAATGATGCGGTTTGCGGAAGATGCGTGTTGCTAATTGGTTGTGCGTGTATGTGTGTATGCGTGAGAGTGACGACAAGGAGAGCAGGACCGATAACGGGAGGGGAAAGGGGGGGAAGGGGGGCGGCAGCAGGTAGGGGACAAGAGAAAGGGGGGAGAAAAGAGAGGGGGCGGGGGCAGCAGGGAGAGGGCAAGGGAGGGGGGGAGGAAAGGGAGGTATCATGTAATACCTGATGAAGAATCATTGGCTTGTTCGCAAAATCCACCAGCGGCTTCGGCACGCTAAGCGTGAGAGGGCGCAGGCGAGTCCCGAAACCGCCGACGAGAATTAGCGCCTTCATCTTGTCTAGATCCGAGTTTGCCTGAGGGATGACTAGGGCGGATGAAAGTAAGGAGGGCACACACCACAGTCAGAACTAGACAGCCAGCCGCGATACGAGATGCCTTTCAAGTTACTGATAGTAGGGTAGCGAGAACAGAGACAGGCTCTCTCTCTCTCTCTCTCTCTTCTCTCTCTTCTCTCTCCCCCTCTCTCCCTCTCTCGACGTGTCTAAATATGCATGCGTGCTCTCCGCTCTCCTTATCTCTCCTCCTCGCTCTCGTTAGCTGTGTATTCCGCCCTCAGCGTCTCCTTCGGATTGCCACTTCGGTGATCCAGCGCGCTCTCCCGAAGTCTTTGCCTCAATTACGTACCCTCCCGCCACTTCGCTTCCGCGACTCCCTCGAAGAACATCAGTCAGTCAATCAATTGCGTCCGCGACGGGTGGGTGCGCAAAGCGGCAAAGACTCCAAAACATCAATTGCGCGCAACAAAGTCAGTCGACGACTCATTTGCGGAAAAAAAAACACTATATATCATGTTGTGTGGAGCGCAACACCACCCATCCAAGCGCCGCGAGCTCGAAGGGGACTCGAACCAAAACGCAAGATGAAAATGGCGGGGACGGCGCCGCGGCTGATCGAATTAAAATTACAAAAAAGTACAAAATTGGAAAAGGAAAAATGAGACCCGCCGGTAAATCTAAGGTCAAACGGCGCCTGGCTATGAGGGCATACACTCACACTGGTTGGGCACTGGGCCCGTTTGAAATAAAATTCCAAGGTTTCAAAAAAAAAAAGAAAAAAAGACGAAACATATGTGTTCTAGCTGAGGATTCGTTCTCATTTCTCATTTTTGGTAAGTAGTGGAGCGAGGCCCCTACTAACACAGAACGAGGAAAGATACACCCGCCAGAACGCTGACGACACTTTTTCTGTATTTAGTTATAGCCGGGCGTAGATTCAAGGATGCCTCCACACGTCGAGAAAACGTGAGAGGGGGCTGCTCCCGACCTGCAGGTGGGCGATAGCGGCCAGGGGACTTCCGGTAGCATCACGGACCATGCCAACAGGACCAATCCCTGTGCCTTCCCTCAGGTCCTACGAACATCAGCAGACTCTGCTCAATGCCGATCGGCGGATCCAATGGTCTATTCTCTAGGCGGCGGGCGCCAAGCATGCCCCAGGAAGGTACATGAGCACGATGCGGATTGAACCCACGACCTCCTGAATGGCACTTGCGAGCTTTACAAACAAACTGAGATAGGCCGCTAGATGGAAACAAAGACAACCGGCCTCCATCGCATCAGGAATTTCCCGGTTGCCATCAATTCCGATACAATACCAAAATTGTCCTCCTCGTGCAATACCGAAATCGTCCTCGTGCAAAACTTTCGGCAAGGCATGGGCAAAGGTGGCAAGGGGCACACCACGATATTCACAGCCCTAAGGCTGTAGTTCGCAGCCCGTAGGGTTGCGTTTATACACTCGCGGCATTTTCAACGATCAGGTTGTTCGCAGCCTGTCAGGGTTGCGTTTTATGCCCTTGAGACCTTCAACGTCAATTCAGCTTTCAACATCGGAGGTCGTTCAGCAGGAAGGGCACTTAGCAAGGGTGGGGCACGCGAAGGACCAGTAGCTGCCCAAAGGAGGCCGAGGAGACTGCAATCCTTGAACCACCAGTGCCTTTCCCAGGCAAATTGCTGAAATGCACCGGTTAACACGGCGGCCTCACCCAGCCAACATGCCGGCCAGATGCGGCCCAAGAACCCGGCGCGCAGGGCACGCGGCCGACATATGGCAAAGGTACTGGCGGTTTGAGTTGGACACTTCAAAATCGAACTAGTATGGTAGGCTGAAGAGGCCGCGGTCCTTGCGTTTTGAACATTTTGGTCCACTTTTCTCGAATAGTCTCTCTCTCTCTCTCTCTCTCTCTCTCTCTCTCTCTCTCTCTCTCTCTCT